AACAAATCAGTTAAACAGTTAGATCTTAATAAGTTGTTAGACCTTATTTATTGGTCATTTAGAAGAGTTTTCGTGTCACAAAACTCTTGTCCGCGTATTAGTGGCATGAGCTGCATGCACATCATAAGTCAGGGATACTCATTTCCAGTGAACCTCCTCACTGAGCATCTTTCTAATTCTGTGGTCCTCCCTGGACCTAGACCCCATCATCCCTAAATTGTCGTTAGCCTCTCCTCATTATCATTGGACTCCTTCCTGACTCAAAACCTCAAGGTTAGGTGTTTTAAACAAGTTTCCACCAACATCTTCTCCCACCAGTCTAGTTGTATACTTATTAAAAATCAGTTGTACTTATTTCAAAATTGCTTATTCTAGTCACACTGGTTATTGCAAATAAAGTTTAATTAAATATTATGTAAACTAATGTAAAAAATATATTGAATATTCTTTAAAACTAAGCTCGATGTTTAAAAAGATTTTAAAATGATGCATGTCTTAGTTTGAGCTACTTTAACAAAAAAACCTATAGACTGGGTATCTTATAAACAACAGAAATATATTTCTCACAGCTCAGGAAGTGAGGACGTCCATGATGAAGGTGCCAGCAGATTCAGTGTCTCACTGTGTACTCTGTGGGAAACAGGTGAGGAAACTTTCTGAAGTCCCTTTTATAAGGATCCTAATCCCATTCATGAGGGATTCAGTCTGTAGCCATACATGTCTAATAATTGTTAAATTCAGTTTAGATGATACAATCATAAAAAAATTAAGAAAATTAATTAAGGCTTATTCTTTCAGATTGTCTTACAATGGTCTTTATGATTTTTCATTACAAAAAATTACAAAAATTTTTTTCTTATATGATGCACTACGATAACAGTTTATACAAAAAAAAGACAATATGGGATTCAAATCAATGGATACATGCTCAAAAGAGGCACTGTTCAAAATCAATACATTGGCTAATAAATGAAAATCATATGGCTTAATTTAAAATAATATGTGTAAAGGGTGTACTCTTTTTTATGATTTCCTATATCAGCTGGCTTTCTTGATTAACCAATCAAATTTTTGCCTGATTGTTTAAGGGAGAACAGCTTCTTTATTTTTATAAACTTTTCTTTAAAAAGTGGATGAGCCCTTTGGGGAGAGGTATCGGATTTTAACACATGCACTAACTTTTGACTGCCCCCCCCCCGACCCCCAGAAAAAAACCAACAAGAACCAATGCAGTGTACAACACAGACTTCCCAAAAATAAGTGGGAAAAAGACCAAAAAAAAGAAGAAAAGGAATAAACATCCAAAATAAGAGATTAAGCAAGAAAAGAAACAAAAGACCAGTCTAGGAGATCCAACATATGAATAATAGGAGTTTCAGACAAATATAAGAGAAAAAATAAAGGGGAGAAAATATTCAAATATATTAATTTCCCAGAATTGAAGGTCACAAGTTTCCAGAACACAAGGGTACATTGAGTACCAAACTGAAAAGATTAAAATTAATCCACATCAAGGTTTGCCATCATAAAATCTTAGAACACTAACCCATACAATGAATGAGGAATCAGAATGAACTCAGACTTCTTAATGTCAACACTGGAAGCTGGAAGCTGGAAGACAACAGAGAAAAGTTTTCAAAATCCTGTGGGAAAATACTTAGCACATAATTCTATACTGAGTCAAAACTTTCAATCAAGTAAAAAGAGAGAGAGATTTCACATACCACTCCTAAACCCTTTCTCAGAAAACTAATGAAGAATATGGTTCTCCAAAATAGGAAACTAATACAAAGAAAAGCCAAAGATCCAAGTACCAGGAGATCTAACATGGGGAGATTAAAGAGAATCCCTCAGAAATTGATAAAGTGGAATCTCAGAACAATAGCTGAATACTAAAAGAAAAGTAGTCAGGTATTTTCAGGACAAAAGGCCCAAAAAATATTTTTCAAGAAAAATAAGTTAATAAAATAACTCTTATGTTGGAATGTTTGGGGAATAATTGAGATTAACTTTCTAATATATACATAGGATACTAAGTAACTGGATAAAAGGTAATTTTTAACTCCATGGAAACCAAAATATGACATAGGCAAGGAAAAATAATAATATAATAATACTACATGGCTCAACTGTGAATAGCTTTACATAATCATAATAATGTAAATACTAAATATTGATCATATTAAAATTACAATATTATTTTATTAGGAGGATTAGGATCATTGAAAGTGTGCATGTGCATTCAAGGAAGAGGGAGGAAAACATGTTAAAGCCTCATTAATTCAATGTGAAAAGTCAATAATAGTAATGTAGGTATAATTTTTAGAGATATTGAGTTAAAACAAAGAAATACAGCTAAAGAAATTGAGAATGGGTTGCCTTGGGGGAGGAGTGGAAATGGTGGTAGAGTGAGGAAATTTGACTCTTTAAACTATAAGCAAATATAACTTTAATTTTTTAAATATATTTTTATTGATTTCAAAGAGGAAGGGAAAGGGAGAGAGAGATAGAAACATCAATGATGAGAGAGAATTATTGATTGGCTGCCTCCTGCAGGCCCCCACTGGAGGTCAAGCCCACAACCTGGGTATGTGCCCTAACTGAAAATGGAACCACAACCTCCTGGTTCACAGGTCAATGCTCAACCACTGAGCCACACCAGCTGGGCCATATATAACTTTAATAAACATGAAAATGGAAGGAGGGACATGAATTGTTTATATTCTTTCTTCAAAAAGTTCTATTATTGTATTTACTTGATTTTTTTCTTTCTTTTTTTTAATGTCATATTTAATTTCTTAATATAGTTAGTCACTCTATCCTCTGGCTTTCACAAAACTTTACACAGTGCTTACCATATTGTACTGTTTTTTACCCGTCTTTATATCTCCCACCTAAGCTATGAATGCTTAGAGCAGTGGTTCTCAACCTTGGCTGCACATTAGAATCACCTGGGAATCTTTTTAAAATCCTGATTTCTGGGCCTTATCCTCCGGAAATTCTGTTTCTTTGTTACTAATGTTGTGGCCTTACCCCATAATAAAGAAACAGAATTTCTGGAGGATGAGGCCCAGAAATCAGGGTTTTAAAAAGATACCCAGGTGATCCTAATGTGCAGCCAAGGTTGAGAACCACTGGCCTATAGAGTTTTGATTCTGTTTTGTAACTCAAGCACCTGGAACACTGCCTGTTTCATAGTAAGAGATCAATATACTTCTGTTGAATGAGTGAATGATGTCTGGGAGAGATTAAATTTATTATCTGGGAAAAAATGCCCAGACTTCTATTATAAGAATTAAGTATGTATTGCCAAAGAACATATAGTCTCTTATGCCATCCTAAATCAAATTTTTATGATGGCTTAGCGTCAAGTGATATCTGCTATGCTCCTGTCAATCAGCCCAGCCACTGAAGCTAACATGAGTGCTTCCTTTCTATTAGATAAAGGACTGAAACATCTATTGTCAGACATCTTTCACCCATAAATAACAATTTATATTCATGGTTCTTTTTTAGGTAAAGTCAGAACCCTTCACACAATTTATATACCAAACACTTAAATGTTCTCTGACTAGATTGCTGATTTCAGAACGTAATCTATATTATTTACACCTATTTCGGGTTTGTTGAGAATCAGTCTAGGGTTGCTCAATTCAGAATAATTCACACGGAGCACTTAATGCATAAAGAATGTGGAAGGGAAGGGCACAATAGAAACTCTGAGGAAACGGTCTGGAAAGTGTCTGAGTTTTGCACCATCCATTATTCTAGCCTTTTTGTATGGATGGACATGAATGTTACCCATAATTTTAAATAGTGTTTTAAGAAGAAATTGTAAGTAATCTCTGAACCTCCTGGTGGTCTTCCTTCATTGTATCTCTTTACTTCCTCTTGTTTGTATCTTGGAAAAAACGCCTCTTGAATTTTTAAGCAGAATGTGACTCTTCATTTGTAAAATAAAAACAGATTTGAAAACTCAAGAAGAAAGCTGCCATATTGTGAACTTCCTGTGAAGAGAGTCGGGTGGTAGGGAACCATGGAAAGCCCCTGAGAGCTGAGACCAGCAACTTTCATATGCAGATGTTGGTTACTGCTGATGGGTGTGAGTAAGTTAGATGTTTTATACTGGAGCCTTCTCCTTACAAAACTTTTTTTTTTTGATGTATCTCTTTTTTTTTTGGCTTTCATGTTCTTTATTATTCTCTAAAAGGTAACAAAATATACAGAACAAAGTTTTCCCTTTTTAACTAATGTTACAAACCCGTATTATTGCTTATATATAAATATTATACTCTATAGCTGATCATTATTAATCAGGTGTGTGAGCCCAACCATGGAGCCTCTAACTGTTAAAACCAGGCGTTTATCTAAACGTGTGTCCTCCTGTGCTGTTTATCCAGAATGAGCGAGGACACTGCTGCCCGAGGGAGGAAGTCACTGTGGGCACGTGTGTGCTTTCGACCAGTTTTCAAGCCTCAAAAACATAAATACAGAGATGCATCCTTCACAGAAATCAAGTACAATCAGTCAATCTGAGCTCATTTCAAATACAGACGGAATATGGCACGGACTGCAGCCGCCGAGGGTGCTGTAACCACACGACTCTCACACACGCCAGCACGGAGCTGCCCCTCAGGCGTGCAGGGGCCCTTTCCTTGATTCGATCGGCCCTGCCCGCAGCACAGACAGGAAGTGATTCAATAACAACAACAGTAGAAATCAGGCCTCCGAAACCGGTTTGGCTCAGTGGATAGAGCGTCGGCCTGCGGACTGAAAGGTCCCAGGTTCGATTCTGGTCAAGGGCATTTACCTGGGTTGCGGGCACATCCCCAGTAGGAGATGTGCAGGAGGCAGCTGATCGATGTTTCTAACTCTCTATCTCTCTTCCTTCCTCTCTGTAAAAAATCAATAAAATATATATTTAAAAAAAAAAAGAAAGAAAGAAATCAGGCCATTGGGCACCATGATACAAATGGGAAGTAACCAGGGAAGCCTCCCGTCCAGCCCCAGAATCTTCCCGCTGAAACAGCTACTCTCTTTAAAGGAACTGGGTCCGAGGAGGGTCTAGATTAGAGAGCTACGAATAGAGTTTCAGAGTCCGCGTGCGACCGCGGGGCCCAGGCTCGGGCCGCCCTGCAGTCCCGCGGCCTCACATGGCCTCGAACGCGTCGATGCGCTGCTTGGTGTTGCCCTGCCGGATCCGCAACGTCTTGTACTTGTCGCGGCCTTGCCTCCTGTTCTCCTTGTGGATGATGTCGTTGTGGGTCCTCTTGTTCTCGTCTCTGGCCTGGGACAGCTCGCTGGACAGAGTCATCAGCTGCTGCTGCAGGTTCTTCTCGGCCTCGGTGACCCGCTTCTCCTCCTGGCGGTCGTCCAGGATGTCCTCGCTGGACAGCTCGGCGCTGTAGCCCGAATCCTCCGCGCCCTCCTCCTGCAGGTTCTCGCGGACGTGATAGGCCACTGGCTCGTCCACAGGGGGCGGCGCCGTCATCACCAGCTGCAGCTCCTCCTGGGTCTTCACCAGGTCATCCTGGGCTTCCTCGGCCTGGTGCTGCCACTCCTCCACCTCGTCCTCCTTGCGCCTGCGCGCCACGGCCAGCTGCTCCTGGCTCTTTCTCTGATCCACCGTCTTCCGCTCCTCCTCCAGCCGCAGGGCCCTCTGGTTCTGGTCCGAGAGCTCTTTCTCGGCCTTCTCCGGCATCATCTGCTCCTTCTCCCTCTCCACGGCCTCTCGCCTCTTCTCCGTTTCCAGCTGCTGCCGCTCCAGCTGCCTCAGGTGCTTCTCCTCGCGGGCCTGGGCCTTCATCTGCTGCACCTCGATGGTGTCAGGCTTCCTGCGGCGCATGTACAGCTCCTGGTTCCCCATGCAGAGCGGCACGATCCGCTTGTTGATGCGCAGGCAGGGGGCGTAGAAGACAAAGTCAGGCGCCTTCCTGTCGATGAACTTGATGAAAAACTTCTTTTTATTGAAGGAGATGTTCCTGATCTCACCCCACAGGAAGCCAATCTTTGGGGTCAACTTATGATCTTTCTCGTAAATATTGAGTCCCAGGGCATCCACTCCAAGCCACAGGTCTGTTCCTCTCTTATTTTTTATCTCAAAATAGCTGATCCCGTACATTTCCAGGTCCTGGGCGGTCTTCAGGTACTCCAGCATGGCGCTGTCTTTGAGCATCCCGCGGTGCTCGGCGTGCCACACCTGGACCCGGTCCTCCCACTGGTCCCTGGTGAGCTTGTGCTGGTCCATGACTCTCTGGGGGATCAGCCGCTCGGAGCTGAGGTACCCGGGCTTGTGCAGGTCTTTGTCGTAGTCTCCGAACTTGGCCTGCGCGGCGTAGGAGCCGAGGAGCACCGCGGTCTCCGGCGGGCAGTAGATCTCACTGCTCAGAATGCCCTCCTTCACTTGGAGGAAGAAGAGCTTCTGCGTAATGTCCTGGATGAGCTCCTCACACACGTCCTTGGGGTAGAACTTGGCCCTGAACTTGAACTGCAGGGGATTCTCCTTCCTGACCTTCTGGGCTGACACCTTTTTATCAAGCTTCAACCAGGTGGGAAATCCTTTGTTATCTACGTACTGGAGCCCGAAGTACCACACCTCCCGCAGGCCGATCGTCCTCACCACCTGATCAAAAAGCTGGTTTCCTGTGGTGTCCCGCTGGATGGCAAACTCCAGCTCCGCATCCATGGTGGTGACTCGGACATTGATCGGCTTTGGCATTTTCGGTTCCGGTGGGGTCTCCTTGATCCTTGGGAAGCGGTGCGACAGCCTCGGACACGGCGGTGGGACGGGGGCTGTGGACGGTGTGCTCCGGTACATTGTAGACTCTGGATACATTGTAGACTCTGGATACATTGTAGGCGCTGGATACATGGTAGACTCTGGATACATTGTAAACTCTGGATACATTGTAGGCGCTGGGTACATTGTAGACTCTGGATACATTGTAAACTCTGGATACATTGTAGGCGCTGGGTACATTGTAGACTCTGGATACATTGTAAACTCTGGATACATTGTAGGCGCTGGGTACATTGTAGACTCTGGATACATTGTAAACTCTGGATACATTGTAGGCGCCGGATACATGGTACACTCTGGATACATTGTAGGCGCTGGGTACATTGTAGACTCTGGATACATTGTAAACTCTGGATACATTGTAGGCGCTGGGTACATTGTAGACTCTGGATACATTGTAAACTCTGGATACATGGTAGGCGCTGGGTACATGGTAGACTCTGGGTACATTATAGACTCTGGATACATTGTAGATGCTGGGTACATGGTAGACTCTGGATCCATTGTAGACTCTGGGTACATTATAGACTCTGGATACATTGTAGGCGCTAGATGCATGGTAGACTCTGGATACATTGTAGATGCTGGGTACATTGTAGACGCTGGATACATTGTAGACGCTGGGATACATTGTAGATACTGGACACATTGTAGATGCTGGGATACATTATAGACGCTGGATACATTGTAGGCGCTGAGATACATTGTAGATGCTGGATACATTGTAGATGCTGGATACTGTTGGGGTCCAACCCCAGCAGGTCCAGGGGTTCCCAAAGGTGTGGACGGAGTCGGCAAAGAAGGAATGACACGGAGGCAGTGTTCAATTGATCAGCAGCCTAACCAGGTTCTGTAGCCAGGTTCTAGCCAGGTTCTGTCTTTATTTCTGCTGTTACATCTGTATTTATACCAGTTGATTTTAATCCTATCCATTCTATTCCAAAGGTTAAGGCGTTTCTTATCTCCATTCCAAGGTTACTGGATTGTTCTATTAAGCTACAAGGAAGTAACTGAAGGAGATTATCCTAAGTAAAGATTATGTAGCTTAAGTGTGACTGTTCGTAGTTAAAGTGATTAACTACCCGCCTGGCACTTAGTTAAGGGGTTTTATTCCCTCCCTAACTCCAGGGGAAAATCCCCACCTGGGGAAACAACCTTTCTCGGAGAGGTGACCTTGGTTAAAACACATAGCGCCAAGAAGGGGAGCAAACATATGAAGAACAGTATGCCATAGACACCAGGTCCCTTGAAACATATGCTGTGCAGATGTTTCTTCCCTGCAGCGACTGTGTCAAGCTGCAAGGATGGACCAGCTTCTGGCAGGATACATGGTAGATGCTGGATACATTGTAGACGATAGATACATGGTAGACGCTGGACACATTGTAGATGCTGGACACATTGTAGATGCTGGATTCTGTTGTCGTTTTCTGAATATAATTGTATTTTCTTCTAGCCGTTAACTTCCTGGAAACAGTGAAAGCTTCGTTTTAGACCTTGTGGAGGTGGGTCTGTTTGCTTTAGCCCTGTTCCTAGGGCATACGCCTTGGTCCTGGGAGATAGTCCTTATTCTTAAGGCTTGGTCCTTCCAGTTTCTGGGAGAAGCTCAAGGTGTTTACCTCGCATCTCTAACTCCACAGGACTTGGTGTTTTAGAAACTGCTCCTCAGATGCTTTAGCTTCCAGCATCTTCCCGGGGTTCCCTGGTGCTGACCTGGGACGTGAGGAGGAATTTGTATGCAGGTGGTGGGCTCCTCCCTTTATGAAACTTCCCTCCCTCAGTTCCTTAACTTTTTAAAGATGAATTTGCAATTACCTGGTCTGAGGAACAGAGGTTTTAAAACCCTGTTTTCTATTTTACATAATAAAATCGCCTGGTGTCTGCGGAAACTCTCTCTAAAGCCTCGTCATTGCATTTGCAAAGTCTTCTTACGTCACCAGGAGGCAGGCAGCTTCCAGTTCCTCGTTTGGCTCTCTCACGGGGCTCCTCAGAGTCCATCCTCGGCTCTGCTGTCATCGGTGCTGAGGTCCGCCCTGCACTCGCGACCCCTGTGGGGTTGTCTTGTTGTCTTGTGTGATGTCTCATCACATCCTCCCCTCAGCCCTCGGTTCCCAGTGAGGCTGATACGGTATTTGATTTCCAAAACTGACAACAGCACAGTCCAGCTTTTGGATTCACACTGACGCCTGAATGTTTGTGGGTTTCAACAACTTGTTTTCATAAGAAATACTGTTTTGATAACCTCCCGTCCGAGGGGAGGACGCATGGAAATTGTGAGTGAGGGGAACCTTGTATTTGACTGTCGGCAAGTGTCTGTTTTAGCAGGAAAAAAAGAGACCCTTGGCTGGGAATCAGTAAGAAGCTCTATGCTTTCTATTTTTTTAATTGTTTTTTTTTAATTTTATTTTTTTATTTTAATTCTTTTATTGCTTAAAGTATTACAAAGGGTATTACATATGTGTCCTTTTTCCCCCCCACCCTTGACAATCCCCTGGCCTCCCCTACCCCACAGTGTCTTATGTCCATTGGTTATGCTTATATGCATGCATACAAGTCCTTCGGTTGATCTCTTACCCCCCTCCCTCCTGCCCCCCAATCCTCCCCGGCCTTCCCCTGCAGTTTGACAATCTGTTTGAGGCAGCTCTGCCTCTGTATCTATTATTGTTCAAAAGTTTATACTGGTCTCTATTATCCATGAATGTGTGAGATCATGTGGTATTTTTCCTTCATTGACAGGCTTATTTCACTTAACATAATGCTCTCCAGTTCCATCCATGCCGTTGCAAATGGTAAGAGTTCCTTCTTTTTTATAGCAGCATAGTATTCCATCGTGTAGATGTACCACAGTTTTCTAATCCATTCATCTACTGATGGGCACTTAGGCTGTTTCCAGATCTTAGCTATGGTGAATTGTGCTGCTATGAACATATGGGTGCTTATATCCTTTCTGATTGGTGTTTCTGGTTTCTTGGGATATATTCCTAGAAGTGGGATCACAGGGTCAAATGGGAGTTCCATTTCCAGTTTTTTGAGGAAACTCCATACTGTCTTCCATAGTGGCTGCACCAGTCTGCATTCCCACCAGCAGTGCACAAGTGTTCCTTTTTCTCCACATCCTCTCCAGCACTTGTCATTTGTTGATTTGTTGATGATAGCCAGTCTGACAGGTGTGAGATGATACCTCATTGTTGTTTTGATTTGCATCTCTCGGATGATTAGTGACTTTGAGCATGTTTTCATATGTCTCTTGGCTTTCTGAATGTCCTCTTTTGAGAGGTGTCTATTTAGGTCCTTTGCCCATTTTTTGATTGGATTGTTTATCTTCCTTTTGTTAAGTTGTATGTGTTCCCTATAAATTTTGGAGATTAGGCTCTTATCAGATATGACACTGGCAAATATGTTTTCCCACGCAGTGGGTTTTCTCGTTGTTTTGTTGATGGTTTCTTTTGCTGTGCAGAAGCTTTTTATTTTGATGTAGTCCCATTTGTTCATTTTCTCTTTAGTTTCAACTGCCCTAGGAGCTGTATCAGTGAAGAAATTGCTTCAGCATATGTCTGAGATTTTGTTGCCTTTGGATTCTTCTAGAATTTTTATGGTTTCCTGTCGTACATTTAAGTCCTTTATCCATTTTGAGTTTATTTTTGTGTATGGTGTAAGTTGGTGGTCTAGTTTCATTTTCTTGCATATATCTGTCTAATTTTCCCAACACCACTTATTGAAGAGACTATCTTGGCTCCATTGAATGTTCTTGCCTCCTTTGTCAAATATTAATTGAGCATATTGGTTCGGGCCGATTTCTGGGGTCTCTATTCTATTCCATTGATCTATATGTCTGTTCTTGTGCCAGTACCAGGCAGTTTTGAGAACAGTGGCTTTGTAATACAGCTTGATATCTGGTATTGAGATCCCACCTACTTTGTTCTTTCTCAGGATCGCTGCAGCTATTCGAGGTTGTTTTTTATTCCAGATGAATTTTTGGAGAGTTCCTTCTAGGTCTGTGAAATATGCCATTGGTATTTTGATGGGAAGTGCGTTGAAATTATAGATTGCTTTGGGCAGTATGGACATTTTAATGATGTTGATTCTACCAATCCATGAACACGGTATGTTCTTCCATCTGTTTATATCTTCCTCTATCTCGTTTTTCAACGTCCTGTAGTTTTCTGAGTAGAGGTCTTTTACCTCTTTAGTTAAGTTTATTCCTAGGTATCTTAATTTTTTTGGTGCGATGGTAAATGGGATTGTTTTTCTAATCTCTCTTTCTGAAAGTTCACTATTGGTGTATAGAAATGCCTCAGATTTCTTGGGGTTAATTTTGTATCCTGCTACATTGCCAAATTCATGTATTAAGTTTAGTAGCTTTTTGATGGAGTCTCTAGGGTTTTGTATGTATAATATCATGTCGTCTGCAAATAAGGACAGTTTTACTTCCTCTTTTCCAATTTGGATGCCTTTTATTTCTTCTTCTTGCCTAATTGCAATGGCTAATGCTTCCAGTACTATGTTGAACAGGAGTGGTGAGAGTGGGCATCCCTGTCTTGTTCCTGTTCTTAGGGGAAATGGTGTTAGTTTATGTCCATTGAGTATGATGTTGGCTGTGGGTTTGTCATATATGACTTTTATTATGTTGAGGTATGATCCTTCTATTCCCACCTTGCTGAGAGTTTTTATCAAAAATGGGTGTTGGATTTTGTCAAATGCTTTTTCTGCATCAATTGATATGACCATGTGGTTTTTTTCTTTCAATTTGTTTATGTGATGTATCACGTTTATTGATTTACGGATGTTGTACCATCCTTGCATCCCTGGGATAAATCCTACTTGGTCATGGTGTATGATCCTTCTGATGTACTGCTGGATCCGATTTGCTAAGATTTTGTTGAGGATTTTGGCATCTATGTTCATGAGGGATATTGGCCTGTAATTCTCTTTCAT